ATTAATTTCATCAAACAACAATAGCCCTGATTACCCGTTCCCGTTATCCTCACTTTACGTCCCTAAACACCTTTCATAAGGGACCTAACCTAAGGATTTTCATCGGGGTGACAACACTGCTTTAGGGGATTCCTCAGTAATTTATCTCAAATAAGGGAACCATGTGGGGGATGGAGCATACTATTGAACACTAAGTTCACAAACACCTATAGGTTGTGAGCCTGCTAGCGTTCCACTGGACTGTCTAGAAAACTCTGTGGTCGTCATCTATACTCCACTAGATGACTGAAACAATAACAATATCGAGGCCTCTCATCATATTAACACACATCAACTATTATATTTACTCATGTTTTACCCAACATATTTGTAGATAAAAATACATATACAGTTTAAAACTTGTATAAAATATTTATTCAACACTCATCTCAAATAAACAAACAATAAAATTACACATAACACGTATTTTATAGAAAATATTTCATATCTATGTGTAAGAAGAAAGTGACTATACACTCACTTGATATGACGAGTGTAAGCTTCGAATCGTAAAGAATAATTGCTCAAGTTCTTATTAACTGAAATTCCCCTTTTAAAATATTTTCTATGATTTAAAAAAACTCAAATGGTTTCCTATTTATAGTACTACATAAGAGGATAAAATCTGAACTACTACGTGTTGCTTTCGTTTCCTCCACGTTGGTCTCTACGTATGCTCTTTTTTTTATATATTATTATTATTATTATTATTATTATTATTCTTATTTTGCTTGACACGTAAGTTCTACTTTTTGACTGCAAATGGAATTGTATCGAGCTTCTCTTGTATGATCAACAATCTCCAAGTTGTATTCTTATCCAAATAATTTACATATATAGTCCCTTAAAAATATATAAACATCATATATAGTTCCTTAAAAATATATAAACATCTATTTGTACTTTTTTTACTGAATCATTAATTTGTATCCATGCATACGTAAGGATTATAAAACTCACATATTAATGTATGCATTTTTTTTTCTCAAAAGAAAATAATATCAAATAAATTTCAAAATATTTGATTAGTTTTATTAATATATAATGATTATTTTATTGATGATTATCAAAATTTAACATCGATAGTTAACGTCGTAAAATATAATTGGTAACTATCGTTGAAAAACAGGTGTAACACAAAAATATTACCATTTTACTATTTGGGTTCACACCGGATGTATTTAGACTAAATACATTTTATAACATATAATTTGTAAATTTTATTTTCGTTACAACTTTCGTTACGATTATTATCCTAAATAATCTTTTTATTATTAACGTTTGTCTTAGCCATATTTATTAAGTTGTTTTTTTTTAAATAAATTTTTACACAAGTATTATATATACATAATAATTCTCTAATTTACATGTATGTAATACATATACTCGAATAATTCAATTTCACTTATTCTTAAAAGGTTACAATCGTCGAACGACGTAAATACAAATTTTATAATGATGCCAAGCAAGAAACGTAGGCGTTACAGTGGTAGGTTGGTATTAGTTGGTGGAGGAGATTGAGGTGATGGTGGTGGATGAGATTGAGGTGATAATGGTGGTTCATGGAGAACGTTAGATAAGGTAAAAGTTTGAAGAGTCTTTGACAGCAGTGAACGCAACCTTGGGCAGAGACTTGAGTTGTGGAAGGCAAATGGAGTACAGACCCTACTCATTGGGCCCGGAAAGAGGGTAGTGTGAGTAGACTCGTCCTTCACAACAAAATAAGAAGAATGAAATTCAAAGAAAGCATTGTTGTCAAGAAAAAAAATTTGAACAGATAAAAGATTTTGTTTTAGTTGAGCAACATGGAGAATGTTAGATAAGGTAAAAGTTTTGTTTGGTGAGTAGATTTTGGATGAACCAATGTGAGAGATGGATACAAAGTTACCGTTACCAACAAGTAAAGAATCATTACCATAGTAGGCCTCGAAGCTATCCAAGCTAGATAGGTCTGGAGTGACATGATGAGCTGCACCGGTTTCGAGCTTCCAAGTGGGTCCAGAAGATGTGTCAGCCTCTGAGCGTGTTGTAAAGTTGGCATGTGGAGCAGGTTGAGATTGGTTCAAATGAGTCGGACACTGAGATGGTAAATGTCCTATACCATACCTGTTGCAATTGACCATAGACGGTGTTTTGGGTGGAGGCCCAAGAAAACTATCGTGTGCCACTGCTGTCCCGAGAGCGATTAAAACCACCACGTGAGTTGCCACGAGAAAAGCCACGAGATCCACGACCGCCTCGGTTATTATTGAAAGACCAATAACCAAAATGAGCTTGAGGCCGTGGAGATTGAATGGGGTTTAGTTGATAACCCAACTGAGTAGCCATCAGTTGAATAATTACACTTTGATACCCTAATGAATAATAATAATAACAATCTAATTCTAAACTACCAACTTAGGTTAATATTAACAATGAAAATAAGTGTTTTTGTTCTAACCTTAATAAAACTATTGAACCAAAGAGTTTTGAAGAAGCCTCTACTGATCCAAATTGGATTAAGGCCATGAATAATGAAATGGAAGCTTTGTATCATAATCATACATGGGATATTGTTGATCTTCCTAAACAAGGAATCGAATAGGTTGTAAATGGGTATATAGAATTAAGTATAAAACTAATGGATAAGTAGAAAGGTATAAGGCTCGTCTTGTAGCTAAAGGATATAATCAGAGAGAAGGGGTTGATTATTAAGAAACCTTCTCTCTAGTAGCCAAAATTGTTATAGTTCGTGTTATTATTTATTTGTTTGTTAATAAGTCATGGCCTTTATATCAACTTGACATTAATAATGCTTTTCTTTATGGAGATTTGACTAAGGATGTATATATGAGCCTTCCCCAGGGATCTCATACTAAAGGGGATACTAGAGTATGTAAGTTGGTTAAGTCCTTATACGGGTTAAAGGAGGCCCTTAAAAAGTGGAATGAAGAGTTGTGTTCTGAACTATTAGTTATGTTTTTTCTCAAAGTATAAATGATTATTCTTTATTTGTTAAGAAAATGGATAAATCAATTGTTGTTTTCTTAGTTTAGAATGTAAAATATTTTTTCAATTCAAAACTTTTAATAAAATATTTGGGAAAGTTGAATTATTTTCTTGGAATTGAGGTTTTGAGTATAAATGGAGGAGTTTGTTTAAATAAAAGAAAATATTGTCTTGGACTTTTGCATGAATTTAGGTTTTTACGTTGCAAACTGGTTCTAACTCCTTTAGAAGCAAATTTTCTTCCAAAAAGAGATTATGATGATAGTGATCATTTACTTGAAAATATTACTGAATTTAAAAAATTAATTGGAAAGCTTATATATCTTATTATTATCAGACCATATATATCATATTGTGTTCAACTTCTCAGTCAGTTTATGCACAAGCCTCATAAGTCTCATTTGAATATAACTTTTAGATTACTTAGATATTTGAAGGGAAGTCATGGAAAATGTATTTCTATAGTTAAGTGAGATAATTTTGACTTAATGGATTTTGTGGATGTTGACTGAGCAAAGAGTCTTTCTTCTAGAAAATATGTTACCGGGTATTTTGTTTATTTTGGAAATTCATTGGTTAATCCGGAACGCAGTCCGAGATAACCGTAACCGTGTATATATCTAAATATATCTTCGATGCGGTCTGTCCGCTTCAACCGCTCTTTCACCTCCCATAGAGCAAAGTTGGCTTGATGAGCGCTCCGAATGTGGGCCTAGAAGCATTAGCCGAGTCTCTGAATATTCCCGAGGGTTCTCAGGATTCTTGGAAAAATAAAAAACAAGCAACTGTTTCCAGATCATCAACTGAATCTGAATACAGACAATTGGGTTCTGTAACTTGTGAAGTTATTTAGATTTTGAAACTCTTGTTTGATTTGGGTGTTAAAGGTTTGACTCCTCTAAAAGTTTTTTGTGATGAGTCTACTATAAAACTTGCATTGAATTCAGTTTTCCATGAGAAAACAAAGCATTTTGAAATTGACCTGCACTTTGTTAGGGAAAAAATAGCAAATGGAGTTTTAAAAATTGAAAAAATAAGTTCTTCTAAACAAAGAGTTGGTATTTCAACAAAGTTTTTAAACATTTTTCAAACATAATTTTTTGTTAAATGAAATTGGTTTGGTTAATCCTTTTAACAAAGATTGATGTTTTTCTTGTCCTCAAATGTCAAGTTTGAGGAGGGGTGTTAAAAGTATTGGTGTTGGTTTAAACTTGTCATTCCTTGATTTTGCAGGGTTTAAATGTAAAACGGTTAAAGGATGTGTTTGTTATTTATTTTTGTGTTCTGGATTGTTTGTAACATTATCAGAAAGTGATGGGTTGCGTTGCAATTTATGTCTTTCTTGTCCGGGTCAATATGCGGGTTGAAGAATCCGGTTACCCGAAATATATAAGGTGTTGTGTAGCTCATTTGGATCATTTTTTACACACACAAACGTTTCAGAGCTCTTAAAGAAACCCTCTCGTTCTTCTTCGTTGTATAGAGTTTAGGGTTTTTATATTTCTTCTGTGTTAATCAGTGTTCTCGATCTTCATCATAGATTAGGATTGAGTGATTGTTTTGAGAGTAGATTAGGTTGATGTAGTGAGGATTTCTTTTATAAGTGAAAACTATCTTTCTACTTATCCTTAAATGATATAATAGATGATGATGTGGGAATATCCGTTTCTACATTTTTTTCACATTTTCTTCAAAATTCGCGTATAAATGTAAGATACACACCTGTAACCATTCTTAGATTAAATAAAATAAAATAAAAATTCTATGCAGATTAATCTGTGACCTAAAAGTATCTTGGAATCAATTTGGCTATGTAACCCATTTTTTAACATCCTTCTAATCCTTCAAGTTTGAGTATTTGTGTTCTGATCCAATCTATTAGCCTAACTCTAAGAAATTGGCATGAGAAATGAATGCATAATATCACAAATCACAAGCATAAGAACATTTTGCATATACCAAAAACCAATCATGCATCACACAAAAACTAATTTTAAGCACACGAAAACAACCAGCTTAAAAGCGTTCACACATTAAAAGAGGATTAAAACAGAGATATTAGACTAAGGAACAGATGCTTACTTGACTTCGCGATTCTCAAGATAATATTATTTGGTTTCCTTTCTATGAATGCTTCAGGCTTCTGAGCCAAAAGTAAGAGTACATCACGAAGTATTCTCTTATCAGTGGTGAGTTGGGTGCATTCATTCACTATTTGTAGAGCAACATCTACAAAAGGTTATGTGGTCAATTAATTAGAGAAAACTTGTTGATTAGCGAATAAAAATTAAGCATGTAGTTCAGAAGATATAGCATAAAGATTCTGACAAGTAAAATCGGGGTTCATATTTCACCAAATCAAATGAAAATGGATCGATTTGTGTCGAAAGTTTCACAGTTGCTGATCTCTTTTAAATCTAAATTCATGCTTTCAGTCAGATTCTTGTCATGAATGAAATCATTTTTTATGACTTCAGTTCGACTGAGACCATTCAGTTCTAAGGCCTGGAATCTAACTAGATAATAAGGTAGTTTTTCAGGGTATAGATGTGCTCAAGAACCAGCGTCAATGACTTCCCATTTAGAGCTAGAAACGCAGAATACTTGCTAAAAGTGCACGAAAACAAAGAAGCCATGTTAAAATAACGAAAGTTTGTAACTAGTACTTACCAAAGATATTTGCTTCAACACATTTTAGGAGAACCCAACCCCGATTCTCATTTGTCCAAAAATCACTAGACATGTTATTGGAGTTAGCATGGAGATACCTCACCATCTCATCTCTTGCAAATAGAGCAGCCACATAGAGTGGCATCATTCCATCACTACCAGGGATTTCCAGCACGGCTTTATTTTTATGCAACATCATCTTTGCTGTTCTGACATTTCCTGCGGTAACTGCTAAAATGAAGGCAGTATTGTAACTTTTATTTTGTAATTCAATATCTTTCCTTTCCATCATGTCCAGTAGATTTTCCACAAACGCTTCCACAGCCATGGTCGATTGCGCAGATGCTGCAATATGAAGTGGGGTATCAAAATTTTTGGTGATAGCAAACCGCACCATCTCTGGATTTTTCTCGAGGATAGCTTTAGCAGCTTTCCAGTCTCCTTTGATTGATGCTTCAAAAAGAGGAGCACCAATCTTGATGTAGTCTTCTCTACTTCCTTCAGTTTAAGCAATTTCAAAAGTTAATTTGTTTTACATTAGAACTAACTAACCAGATTATGGTTTGACTTTTCAGGTGTAACCACCCCCAAAATTATTATTTACATATTATCTATGAGGATTAATTGAAATTCATCTGCATCTTTTAAAAGTTTCAATGCGAATCCCCTTTCCATCTACCGAGGAAATAAACATTAATCAATCATGATATATAAACATAATCCGACAACTAAACATGCATTAATCTTGATATATGTCGCAATTAAAACGTAATCTGACCAACTAAGCACGCATCAACCCTGAAATATGTTGTAAAGTTTTCCTGGTAAAATTCCAAATTAGAAATTACCTTCAAATAGCTGTCCACAAGGTAGGTTCAGTGGCAGTGGCGGTGGTGGACCAATTGGAACCATGATTTGGTTCTGTTGCTGCTGCAGCTGGTTTAAGGTGTTCAGTGATAGTGGTGAAGGTGCAGTGTTCATCTCTCAGGCTGCTTACTTCCCTGTGCACCGAGAATATCATTAATTAGCAACTCAAATACAATTACAAAACGTAAAGTTTAACGTTAATGGATGATTTATTCGAAAATACCTCCAACTGATACAAACAGTTAGTCTCTTTAGTCTGTATGAATGGATTGTTTAAGGAAGGTTGGACAATAAATTTATAATGCGGAGTCCCCTGCTGAAGTCAACGGCAATAAAAGTCGTTTTTTATTAAGTTCCGGAAAATGCGTTATATGCACGTTAAAAGGGATGAGAAACATAGTATACAATAAACTCCAGGAGGGGATGGGTGTAATATGTACTTTCTATTATTTTCTTATTAGTTAGTAGTTACAAATTATTTGTTATGCAAATAAATAACAGGGAAGGACTCAGAGCATTTATAATTTTATAATGTCCCCAATAAAATTATATGGTAGTGGTAGCTATCACTTTGTAATTCAATATTATGTAAGTAGTTATCTTATAATTCAATACTATCTAAGTAGTTATCTTAATTGTGTTAACATCAGTTATTTATAAGGTTAAAAGGTATGGTCTCTACAAATGTTGCTAATGCCACATCATCTTCACTATATGTTCACTACCACACTATTAACCATTGGAAATGGTTATCACTCCATATTGTTTATCTTTTTATTTTTTATTTTTTTTGCTGACATTCGATTAAATAAAACACACAATTACTAAACATAAAAAAAATATTTTTACTAATAAAAAAGTACATTAAATTAAATAAAAAAACATAATTTTAAACTTAAATAAACATTTTACTAATTAAAAAAATACATGAAACATTAAAACTTAGAAATTTAAATCTACATTAGAAATTGAAAATACATAAAAATTAAAGCTTACATTAATAAAAAAAATGAAATTAGACTAGCAAATAGAAAATATCACTCTTCATCGACGTCATCATCGTCATTGTTCTTGTCCTCATCGTCATCGGCCTTGTTGTCATCGTCATCGACCTCGTTCTCATCGTCCGCGTCCTCATCATCTTCCTCGACATTGTCATGTTTGAATTGTCTTTGACATATGTGCTCAGTCAAATCGGGACATAGATTGTGATGTGTTTCACTGTTTTGTATTGCCAAAAGTCTTGTGAAGTATGTTGGGTTGTCAACTTGTATTAGTGCATGTGGATTAAGTATATCGTTTGAACTATGCACACAAATATCCCTACCCTCTTCTTATATTATCATGTTATGTAAAATAACACAAGCAGTCAACACCTTCGTTAATTTTCCCATGTCCCATAATCATGTCGGATGTTTGATTATGTGTCACTTGCTTTTTAGGACTCCAAACGCCAGTTCCACATCCTTCCTTGCCGATTCATGTGCTACCTGAACAATTTTCGTTTTTCATTGGTCGAATATAAGTATGAATTGACAAATGTAGTGTGCTCTGGATATATCCCATCACCAAGGTAATACCCATAATTATAGTGTCACAACTAGCATTTTAGCTAGGAAATTTTATTCTCATGTAATCATTCAACTATTGTAAAGCATGTACCCTAAGTGAATATCACTAAATGCTCATTCAAATACATCTCTCATGTTCAACTAAGGGTTGGAAACCCTAGAAATCCCGGTTCAAATTTATTATGGACTAGGATCCTCTTATTGGACCTTTTGGGCCAATAAATCTTCAATTAGACTATTTTGGGCTTAGAAACCCTAATTGGGTTCTAATTGGACTTGCATTAATAAAACTTAACATTTTGGACCATTTGGGTCTAGAATGATTCAGTCTAACCCCAATGAGAATTTTTGGGCCATAAATAAATTAATTAGCCTTAATGGGCCATAAACTCATTCCTTTATACTATATTGGGCCGTGAACCACCTTAAGAGCCCAATGAGCCAAAAAATATTGTTAAGCTACATAAATTCGAGCAAGCCAAGAAAAAGGAGCCCAAAACCATCTCATCCTCTTTCCTCTTATCCCATTCTCGGCCCATATAGTCATTTAAACAAAAAAAAAGGGGATTCTCCTTCCTTGATACCTCATTGTTGCATGGTGGATTTCCATGCAACATCACCTCAAATCTCTCTCCTCTTCCCCCCTTCTTCTACTCACGGCCGAGACACCCACCACCCACCTCCATTTTCTCATTTCAAGCTACTTCAAAACACTCTCTAGAACTCCTCTTTCTTCCATCAAAATTTCGAGATTTGTGGGTGCTTTCAAAAGGATTCTTCACCAATATCATCATCCTTGGTAAGTTTTTGCTTAGATCCATGGTTTAGTTTCTTGATTACTCCAAAAATCTCCTCTTAACTCATGTTATTTCGTGATCTTGCTTCTTAAAACCCATCTAAGCCCAAAAATCTCTCAAGAAGCTTGCTAAGGCCGAGAATCACATCATCTTCTTCCATTTCTTCTTCAAACCGAGACCAACAAAGTAAGGTGAGTTCATACCCCCTTGTTTTCGGTTTTATCCTATTTTTGGGGGAGGATACAAGGCATTATGTGTTAGAACTATGTATTTGTGCATGTTATGTGTGTTTATCTTGGTTTAAGTTGTGATTATTTGATGAAACACTATAGATCTCGAAAATTATAACCAAAAGTTGTAATATGTGTAACTAAAACACTTCAAATAACATACTATGAAGTTAGATGGGTTTAACATGTGAAGATTCATAAGAAGTTAAACAAAAATCTTGAAAAAGGACCATTTTTGAACAAATAAACAAAAACATGAGGTTTTATGACACTTTTGGTTTTATAAGGACTAAAAGAGCCAATTTTATACAAAAATGAGTTACTACGATATTTTTGGGGGAAAAGGGACCAAAAATGTAAATTTTTGAACATTGGGCCATAAAAATGGGCTTTTCGGTTTTAGTGGGCCAAAAATATAAAAATCACGGTTTTTAAGGAGTAAATCTTCATTTGAATCAAGTTTGAGTCCAAAAATGTAAATCTACGGTTTCATGGGTTAGAAATGAAATTTTTCCAAAGTTTGGGCCAAAAACGTAATTCCTATAAAAAGTGAGATAAAAATATAAATTTTTATAATCATGGGCCAAAATGTCATATTTATAAAACTGTAGTTAAATACGTCATTTTACTTAAAAATGGGCTAAAAATGTGAATCCTTACTACAATGGGCCGAAAATAACATCTATTATATATTTTGGGTCAAAAGTGTCAATCTCGATAAAAATGGGCCAAAAACATCATTTTATATACATTTGGACCATAAATGTAAATTTTGAAATAATGGGCCTAATATATCCATTACATGTTCATTTGGGCCTTAGTGGCCCATATACATATTTGTTGGGCCTAATATGTTCATTTCATGTTTATTGGGCCTTAGTGGCCCATATACATGCTAATTAGGCCTGAGTTATTCAATGTATGTTATTGGGCCTTGGTGGCCCATATACTTGTTAATGGGTCTCGTACATAGGAATACATACATTGGATTTGAAAATTTAAAACATATACGAAAAATATTATACAGCGTAAGACAATATACTTGTAATACATTACTCGTGAACAAGTTGAGGATCTAGTGAGACTTGTCGGTTGACACCATTGAGTGTATGATCGTAGCCTGTAGTTATAACCAGAGTCTCCTGGAGGGAGAGCGGGAGTTTGTGTATAGATCTATATGGGGTGACACCCCACACCTGAGCTGTTCGCTACAGCTAGACTAGGCCAGTCTAGGGTGACAAACCTTACCTTCGACAAACCGGCGTTTGATACGCCATGACAGGCGAGTTAGTCTTTATTAAGCATGGTTGTAACGACTCACAGAAAGATCAATACCATCAGAATATTACGGAATACAAATACAAATCGTGGCGACACAAAACATACACACACTAATACTTGGTCTTAGGGTTTTAAGACTACATTACTTTTATAATCAAAAAATATCGGATTTTCTAGGGGAAAAATATACATTTGCACACTGCCTTAAATTTACAACAACAGAATTTTTGGGAACTTATTTTTACATATTTTCTACAATGGAAACCACACATGCATTAATACTTGACTTGATACATC